CTGATCTTGATTTCAGCTCAGGTCATTATCCGAGGGTCGTGGGATCAAGCCCCATGTTGGCCTTCAGGCTGAGTGTGGGGTCTGCTTAAAATTCTATCTCTCTCCCTCTGCCCCACTGACACTTTTCTTGTGTTCTTTAAAATAAAATAAAAATATTTTAAATCTGTTTTTTTTTTCTGTAGAAGAAAAATGCCAGAAATACCAAACATTAATCAGTACCTATTTTAAGAAATTATTAATAATTTAGTCCTTTTAAAATTTTTAAGTGTTTGATAAAAAAATAATTTTACTCACTGCGTGTAACCTGATTTTTAAAATTTAGACTACTGGGATGCCTCGGTGGCTCAGTTAGTTAAGGTTCCGACTCCTGATTTTGTCTTAGGTCACAAACTCACATTCATAAGATCGAGCCCCACATCACCTCTGCTGACAGCACAGAGCCTGCTTGGGATTCTCTCGCTCCATCTCCATCTGCTCCTCCCCTGATGATGTTCTTTCTCAAAAATAAAGAAACTTTAAAAAATCCTTAAAACATAAAACAAAATTTAGAGTAGTAAGGAAGTTTTGGAAAATGCACACACCACATCAGGTGATAGATTAAACTTTCCCAATATATATTTTCATTGTCAGTAACATAATATTAAATTTATTAGAATATTTCATAATAATCCTAAAAAAGAGGTCAGTGTGATCTTTTAGATAACTTGAGTCAACTGAATTGGATCTTCTTCCAATTCTTGAAATTGTATTTGACATGTTATTGAATTAAAAATAATATAGAAAATAGTCCTTGATATAAATACTGCTGATTGGAATAATATGGCAGTTATTTAAGCTACATAGGTGTTTGAACCTCTTTTTAAATTTCCAGATGTATTAATGAACTGCAGCCTACATTTATATTTATAATTGTAAGAGATAAAAACAACAAATTATTCTATCCCATTTTCTAGAAACTGGCTCATAGTTAACACCATTTGTCCAACTCTTTTGTGTTTTTGCAAGAATTAGCATGATAAAAGGAGGCATGATTTTCCAGATTTAATTATACTTTTGCTGTTATCTGATAATGATCTTACTTGAAGTTATTTTTTAACAGTACTCTGTTTCCTAAATTCTGTAAATCAACAGACAACTTCATACATTTTTTCAAGAAATTAAACATCTACTACATGGCACTTCAAACACAAGACATTTTGCCTTATCAAGGAAATTGTGGATCTCACTATGCTTAGTTGAAAATTTTAACTAATTTTTAACAATACATAAAGCCTTTAAGGATTTAGTAAAGGAGTTCAGCTCTTGATCCAAATATACCACAAAAGCACTTTACATTGAACTATGTATTCAAGCGTGAAGAATTTCAGTAGTTGAATGGCTTTAGATTCCCCTTACACCCCTCACACCATCCCCAATCCCAGTCCTTCCTACCTGTTAACTTACATCTAAGCAATTATAATCTTATAATTGAGGAGGGACACCTTTTATCTGTGTAGGGACACACTTGGTAACTAATGAAAATAAGGGATCCTCTTCCCAGAAAAATATACAGGTACATACAATTTTGAGTGCAAGGCAGGAACCTGTAGACATCCTCAAGATCTTTTCCCTAGAGCTTTCACAGTAACCCAGACAGCAGCTGACCCAGCACCAGAAAATCACCAGTCACTTAAAATTACTACTACCTTGGAAGAGAACTCCATCCAGACCTAATTAAATCCTGGGAAGTCTGATCGTCCTCCCTCTTTCCCATTTCCAGCTACCTCACCCTTGCACTCCCTGCGTAATTCTGTGACTATATATTCTTAGCCATGCTGTTGCCTATGGCTCATACCTCATTTCCTTTTTACCCTCAGTTATAGCACAGGATATTTTTATTTCTCTTTACTATCCATCCCTGTATCATCCTTATATTGATCTCTGCTTCCTCTCCATGATCTAAAGCCTAGTTCTCCTTTCCATCCCCAGCTACTTTATACACACTTAAAATATGTCCATTATGTGCTCAGGAGGGCTGTCCCATGATTAATGGATAATGAGCATTCCCTGTAGCTCTAAAGGTGAGGCTGTTCACTCTCCTACATTTCAGGTTACTCCTTCCTCTTCCTCAGAGCTGCTCTGGAATGACTTATTTAAAAAGTTACTTCTTTAAGGTTCCTGGGTGGCTCAGACAGTTAAGAGACTGACTCCTGATTTCAGTTCTGGTCATGATCTCACAAACCTGTGAGATGGAACCCTGCTTTAGGCTCTGAGCTGATAGCACGGAGGCTGTTTGGGATTCCCTCTCTTTCTCTCTCTCTCTCTCTCTCAATAAATAAATTAACTTAAAAATAGTCACTTCTTTAAAATAGTTTTCTACAACCCAGCTAGATTATGAGCTTCGTGAAGCCTTTGCATTCCCAGTTCTATCACCAGAGCTGAAGAACAGGGCCTGCAGGCACTATTTATACCATTAAAACATGTTGGCTTCTGTCACACACACTTTGCTTGTGAGAGAACTGAAGTACATACAAATATCCATAAGTTTTTTTTTTTCCCTTTTTTCCCCCAGTCCCTAGCACCCTGAACTGCCCCGCATGCCGATGGGGAATACATCCTTTTATCAGGCCTGGTACAGCCATGCCCTCCAGACCTATGGAGCGGGAGCCAAAGCACCAATCAGCTGCATAGTCTTTAGTGAGGAGGGGTAGCTACAGACTGTCCCCTTAAGTGGCAGCTACAGACTGACAGCAGTCAGTTCCCATTTGGACTTGTTGGCTGATGCAGTCCAGGGCTTCTCCAGCAGCTAGGGGTCCCTGGTGTCTCATTAAATGAAATTCCAGCCAAGCAGCAAGCCCCTGTGATGGCAGGTCAGGATCCTCTAGCTCTGTCTTCATGGGGGGATATGCACACTTGGGTGTGTTTACTACTTGCAGATAACAAATGCCTTTTGTCCCCAAGATCCTGTTCCTGTGACCAAGCCTCTCCAGACCTGCGTCCTATTCCAAGTCTCTAGTGACTCTTCGTTAAATTTTGACACAAACTGTGAATGTATATTTCTTACTGAGCAAAGTCTAAAACTCTATTGTAAAATTCAACTTGGTGCTGAGAAAAAAAATCAATAGCCATATAATAAACATACTTAGAATAGCAATGTCTTCTATTAGAAAATACACTTTAAGTTACTGTTTATATCATTGAAATTGATTTCTGAGAAAGTCTATTTCTCCTCAGCAACCTTGAGCTAAATATCTTTAATGATATCCTATCTTACAGTATTTTTAAATTAACTAAAATATCTGCATTCATGTTGGCCACATTTTTATCTATATACCATAAATACTATTTATATACTTGATTATCCAACATAAGTCCTACAGTAAGAAGTAGACTAATTATAATTGTGTAATATACATCTATATCTTTCCCCCAACTTCATCTACTAGCAATATTGAAGACAGGTAGTATTATTCATGTAACCCTTAAGATAAAGATATTTCTGTATCACATTTTATTCTCTCCTGTATATCTTGCACAATATATAAGTATATATTGTGTGAATTTTCCATAGCATTCCCCAAATAGTGAAGTACTGACTTTTCAATTAACTTATAAAACAACTTCACACATTAATTTTAAAATCATAAAACAATAAAATGATATACTTAATCACTGATTTTTACATTAATTATGAAATCTTAAAGCTGAAACACTAAGAAATGCTCTTTGTATTTTATTACGCTCTTGTTAACTTAGTCCAAGATCACCCTATCACATTGTGATGGCTTTGTTTGTTTTGTGGTGGCCATTGACCAAACAGAATAGCATGTCGATTTAAAACTGTCAGAGAAATGTGTCGAAAAATCTAATGTTTTGGAAGTTACCATCTGTCTAACCGTGTCTCTCTCCCTGTGTTTCTCTCTTTTTTTAAAATTTTTTAATGTTAATTTTTTAATTATTATTGAGACAGAAAGAAAGAACATGAGTGGTGGAGGGGCAGAGAGAGACGGAGACCGAATCCAAAGCAGGCTCCAGGCTCTGAGCCGTTAGCACAGAGCCTAACACAGGGCTCGAACCCTCTAAATGTTGAGATCATGACCTGAGCCGAAGTCAGACGCTTAACTGATTGAGCCACCCAGGACCCCATCTCTTTTTGTTAATTAAAGGAACCTCTTGGGGATCCTGGGTGACTGAGTCGGTTAAGTGCCCAACTTCGGTTCAGGTCATGATTTCACATTTTGAGTTCAGGGCTTGCATTGGACTCTGTCCGGACGGCTCAGAGCTTGGAGCCTGCTTCGAATTCTGTATCTTCCTCTCTCTTTGACCCTCCCCTGCTTGTGCTCTGACTCTCTTTCTCTCAAAAATAAATAAACGTTAAATATTTTTCTAAAAATAAAATAAATAAAATTAAAGGGGACTTATTCTCATTTTCTCTCAATCTTGATAAAGTCAACCTTAGTATACTCAGAGGCAAAAGATTCTAGTGAACTCATGAAATTTACACACTAAGTCTAGATTGTGCTATGTCTTGACTTCTAGAAACTTCTATCCAAATACTTTTACTTCTTAATTGTGTTTTTAAAATATTGGGGGAAAATATTCCTTCCATCAAGCTGCTTGATGGCTTTTGTGTCACTGAACATTTTGAGCACCTTCTCAGAATGTTTTAAAGTACATACTATAAAATGTGAATATTTGCAAAATGATTTAAAGTTATTTTAAAAGGTTTTATCCACATACATGTTATAAGGGAGTCTGTGTACCCAGACACATAGTTCAAGTGCATTTCAGTTAACACTAGGGAATGAAAAACCTTGACCCAAGTATCATGTTAAAAATTTACGCTAGGATAAACACCATTTCATTGAAATACGTTTCAAAATTTATGACAAATGAATATGTTAAACTGTTGTTTATAATGTAATTTTTTAGATCAGTGAGCCATGCAAATATAATAAGATGCATTTTAGAGGTAGAAATAATAATGGTATGACATCATTTTAGGGTAAAGTCATTCATACCTTTATGGCAGTGGATGCAATTTGAATGTGGTGAAGTCTCCGAAGGGTGCTGTCCCTGTCAATGAAATAGGAAGCGGCTAGTTGATGTAGCGTCTCCAGAGTGACCAACGAGCTATTGGTGCTGGAATCACTTCCTTCAGATCGTTTGCTCAACTTCCGCTTGTCCACAAAAATTGTGAGTGACTCCTCTCCTGCATTAATAATATGTAAAATTATTCAAATTTCCACTTATAATAACCTCTTCATTTGTCCGCAGGTGAGGAAATGTAGATCACAGACACAATGAAACAAAAGAGTGATAAGCAATAACAGGGCAAGTTTTACTTTTGTGTCATTCATATGGTACCTAGAAAGGCACTTGAGGTATTGAAGGCTGTAAATACTTATTAGTAAATTGTAAAAAGCTAGCTTTTGTGGAACAATTTCTGTAGATATTTTTTGACTTTCATATAGTTTAGCTTACCTGAAACCCCTATGGCACAAAAGCAAATTAAGAATGGAAAATATGTAATATGAACATAAGTAAGGTGCATGATACAAAACTGTATGTACTCAGAAATGCTTACTGTAGATCAGCGTGACTAATGGAAACATGACCAAGCATATAACTAAACATTAGCCACTTTTTAAAGGTTTTAATTTTTTAGTAATCTTTATACCCAACGTGGGGCGCGAATTTGTAATATCGAGATCAGAGTCACATGTTTCACCAACTGAGGCAGCCAGGTTCCCCTAGCTGTTTTTAATTATACCTTTAAAATGCCAAGAAAACAAAGTCATACTTTGGATTGTGAGCAACTTGTTCTGTGAGTTTTCTGCAAAACAAGCAAACATTTATAATAAGTTTTCACTTAATGAATGATGTCTTGGAGTACGAGGAGTACATGATGCGGAACATCACATGACCACAATGGGGCCAATCGTTCTCTCTCTCTCTCTCTGTCACTCACTTCTTTGCTCGCTGTGGGACTGTGGGTGATAATCTCCCATACTCGGATGATGCTTAATCTCAGACCACAGTGTTTGGCAGAAATCAATGATTTTTCAGAACATTGGAAGGTGCCCACAACTGGCATTGATGTATTTTTTTGTTCCTTCAAAACACCTGTGGACAGTCCTTTGCTTTTCCATACAAGAGTGAGCTTAGGAATGCGTTGTTTAGTTCTAGGTAAGGCTGACTGCAGATATACACCCTTTCCTCAGCTACCTTATTGTCACTTAAATTAAGTATATTACATGACAAGAGTTTATTAATACCGTACTGTAGTCAATATCCATGCAAGCATATACAATGGTCTCGACCGAAAAAAAGATCACATTGAGCCAATAGTCAGCAGTGATTCCACTAGTGATAGGCAAAGTCATTCTACACAATAAGCCTCCTATCTCTTGTCTCCATCACACCAGCCACGAAGGTTTTCCAAGGTAAGTGCAGGTTAACTTCTTTATTTTTCCTTATAAATCAATTTCTTTATATTTCCTTATTTTGTATTTTCTTCTTATTTTGTATTATGTAACAATATTATTATTTTTATACGAATTTGGGTTGTGGAATGAATCATCTGAGTTTCCATTACTTCTTATGGGGAAATTTGCTTTGAAATACAAATACTTTGGATTAAAAGCATGTTTCCAGAATGAAGGATGTTCACAAATGAAGATTTTACTATATACATATATAGTTGTGTAAATATATGTATTAAATCATAGGTTTCTTATATGTGGCATTATATACAAATATTATGTATTTTAAGCTCTACGGAAATCACTAAACTCCATGGAAGATTCAGGTATTGCCAGTGGATTTTGAAAGGTGAAATTTAAAGTATAATATAATTAAGCTGCAATATTCAATGTTCAAATGTTGACAAAAATATCAACGTCATTTAAGTTTAACTTTAAGAACTTGTTATCTACAGATTTTCATATTCTTGGATATTCATCTAGCACATAATTGTCAGAATTGATGCTTACTCTCATTCTTTCAGTAACCCACTGTTTAGAGGGTGCAGTGCCCACTTACAAAGTGACTACCCAGTTTTAGAAAATACCAAATAAATAAAATAACATTAATTTTAAAGCTATGTATCCTCAGTGATGATTCAATTCTAAGTAACAGCTTATATTCATCCACAAGAGATCAGGTCCATTGATATCAGAAATAAAGTGTTAAAAATATTATTTCTAAAAGGTTACATTCTCAGTTTGTATTTGGATCCTAGCAGGCATAGTGGAAATCAAGTAGCCTAACTACAGCAGCTGAAAAAAAATCCCTCAGAAATATGAATGAGGGAGTCAAGTTATCAACAGCATTAGGTCACGTGCTTGATAAATAGCTTTCAGGTGGGAACATCTGGAAAAGGGAATATATGCAAATTACTAAATAAGCAAATAAAAAGTCTCCAACAATTACTTCTCCCCAGAAAAAGAGGATTAACTAGTGTGGAAATTTGAGTGAACTTATCTCAGAAAGACCAGTGAATCTGAGAAAAAAAAAAATCACCTGTGTGCCAAGTTGGGAGGGAATACCAAAACAGATATCTTGTACATGAATGTAGAAAGAACAGTTCTGCGGTAGTCTGAGAACTCATAGTGAGGATGTACCACAGATGCAAGTGCTATGGTCTGAATGTGTGTGCTTCCGCAAAATTTAAATGTGAAATCTTAACTCCCAAAGACAACGGTATTAAGAAGTGGTGCTTTGCTCTCAACAATAGCTAAAACATGGAAAGAGCCTAAGTGTCCATCAACGGATGAATGGATCAAGAAGATGTGGTTTATCTATACCATGGAATACTACGTGGCAATGAGAAACAATGACATCTGGCCATGTGTAGCAACATGGATGGACCTTGAGGGTGTTATGCTGAGCGAAATAAGTCAGGCAGAGAAGGACAAATATCATATGTTTGCACGTATAGGAGGATTAGGAGGAACTTGACGGAGGAACAAGGGGGAGAAGAAGGGCGGAAATGGTGGGGGAAAGGGAGAGAGGCAAACCATGAGAGACTCTTGAATGCTGACAAAAACTGAGGACTGATGGATGTGGGGGGGAGGGGGGATGGGCATGGAGGAGGGCACTTGTGGGGATGAGCACTGGGTGTTATGTGGAAACTAATTTGACAATAAACTATTAAAAAAAAAAAAGAAGTGATGCTTTGGGGGAATGTTTAGATCAGAGTCTGCATCAATGGAATTAGTTCCTTTGTTACAAGAAAGTTCCCTTGCCCCTTCCACCATGTGAAAATACAAGACTGTGCAATACTAAAAAGGGCTCTAACCTAACTACGCTCGTGCTTTGATCTTGGACTTCCAGATTCCAGAACAGTGAGCAATACATTTCTGCCATTTTTAAGTCACCCAGTCTGTGCTGTTTCATTGCAGCCCAAATAGACTAAAAGAGCAAGAGACGTGTCTTATTAAGTAAGGTTGAAAACAAAAATGACAGGGGCGCCTGGGTGGCTTAGTCGGTTAAGCGTCCGACTTTCACTTAGGTCATGATCTCGCGGTTTGTGGGTTCGAGGCCCGCGTCGGGCTCTGTGCTGACTGCCAGCTCAGAGCCTGGAGCCTGTTTCAGTCTGTGACTCCCTCTCTCTCTGACCCTCCCCTGCTCACGCTGTCTCTCTCTCTCCTAGAAATAAATAAAACATTAAAAAAAATTAAAAAAAAAAGAAAACAAAAATGACAAAGATCTTGGTCAATGTAAATGAAAAGAAAGTAAAGTTAACAATCTTGATATCAGATATTGTAATTCAGGCCAAAAATTAATAAATGAGCAAAAGAAAAACACTGCATAGTGACTACTAAAGACTAAAACTTGCCAAGCTGTTTTAATGGCAATGCTTTTCATAAAGCAGAAAATACTGGAGATATAGGATAAAATATACAAGAAATGTAAATTCAAAATATATTGATATATCACTTTGCAATTATGGAATTTGCCAAAATCCAAAAGTTTGACAACCTTGCCAAAGCTGTTGGCAAACTGGAAGGAAACAGGCCCTCTGATATATTGCCGATGGTAATACAAAATGATGTAACTAGAGAGAAATTTGGCAAGTTAGCAATGACTGACTCAGCAATACTACTTTTAAGAATCTATCACAAAAAACACTGGTTAAAATATGCCAAAAACTTCTTACTATGGCTTTATTTGAAATATTTGTAGCAACCCAGATACTTAGGCTGTAAGAATAAACTATGTTGCATCTATTAAGTAGAATACGGTGCAGCCACAAGAAAGAAGTGACAGCAGTGCCTGAGAGACTCAGTTGGTAAAGGATCTGACTCTTGATTTCAGCTCAGGTCATGATCTCCAGGTTTGTGGGTTGCCCTGCATTGGGCTCTGCTCTGACACTGTGGGAGCCTGCTTGGGAATCTCTGTGTCTTTCTTTTGCTGCTCTCTGTCTCTCATTCTCTCTCTCTCAAAAATAAATAAAAATTAGAAAAAGAAAAGAGAAACGAAAAAAGAAGTAAAAATGATTTAAAACATTTATTCATATAAGTAAGTTTTATGAATTTAATATTATGACAAAAATGAAATTGTGGATGGTTTGGCAGTTCTCAGGTGATTTTATTTAGAAAATACCTCTAAATATCCAAGTTTAGCCTCCTTGCATTTACAATGTTTTCTGCAGATTCTTGTAGATAGAAAGAAGTGTAACTGCACATTCTTTAAACTAAAATCAAATTTTTTTCAATTCAATGATATATTAAATTCAAAATATTGGTTCAGTTGATTTATCAGAAATTGGTTTTGCCTTCTGGAGATCCAAGAAAGCCACTTAAGTATGTGAGGAAAGGCCTCCTCACTCTCTCTTTTTGTATCATAGTGACTTTTCTTATGACTGGAGCTGTGCAACATAAATTGAAAATCTTTAACTCATTGAGCAGAGGAGATAATTAGACCACTTGAATGGACTCTTTCACTGAATTATGAGGTACTGGAAGGATGAAAAATATAGAATTAATTGTTATAGTTTCAATGTAAGTATGCCAACTGCTAGTGCCAAACAGATTTGAGTTTTAATACTGACTTCTATTTAGTAACTGAATGATCTTGAATTGTATAACTTGGCTCAATTTCCTCTCATGAAACATGAGTATAGTATGCCTTCTACAAAGAGGAGCTATAGGCATGAAACAGATAATATCTGTAAAGAGTTTAGAATATGACTAGACTACAGTTAGA